AGGCCTTATGTCAGTATGTGCCATAATATTATTATTCCAAGAGTTAATTTAATATTTATATTTTGGTAAGTATTTATACTGCTGTAACCAAATTAGTTCAACACAGAAATAAATTTCTACTTTAATCATACAAGGGGTAGCCAAAATATTCATGAATAATGGATCAAGACAGGATTAAAATGATCAAATACAGGAACTCCTTTTCATTACTGATACCTGATCCTACCTTTTTCATTTAAACTTAAACGAGACCATAATGAAAGTATTCTGAATGTAAATTCTTCATTATTTGAAATAAAAGAAAATTAGTTTGCAATTCTTGTATGAACAAACTTTTTTATTTTTATAATATTATAAACGATGAATGAGTATTGGTTAAGGTTGTGTAAAGACAGTATACAATTTCCTTACCTTGTTTTAGTTAAGTCAAACAATTCACTGACTTAAAGAGAATAATTAATCCAGTCAAATATTCACAGCTGAACTCGCCATTGCTTTTTCAAACAAACACACTAAATGTGTGTACATTGTGTAAAGATGCAAGTTGACATCGATGTGTAAGATAAAAAAAACTACAATGTCAAAAAATGTCTTTCGTTTGGAATTTAGTTCGAACGGGGTTTCCTAAGACTTAGTTTTTGTTTTAACTTTGAGATACTTATTATTAATTTTTTATATAGTTTGTATATTCTTTGTTTATCTGGAAAAAAAAGAAGAAAAAAATAACAGACAATTTCGCATAATTCTTAAACGACGATCAAAGGCATTACGTTATTTTTAAGACGGACAATTTATAACATGTTTAAGTATTATTTTCTTTGATAATAAGAACCATGCTTGAAAAATCGAAAGAAATCTATTTCTGACGGCAAGTAAGAAACAGAAAAAAGAAAAAATTCCAAATTGGCGCCAAATTATTTTTTCCGCGAAATTAACGCAATTTCAGAATGGCGGGTTTTAATATCAGTCCCATTGTTGTCTTAAGTAAGTAGCAACAACGGTCGTTTCTAAGGGCTTGCTTTCCGACTGATACAGGAACTCCTTTTCATGATTACTAATACCTGATCCTACCTTTTTCATTTAAACTTAAACGAGACCATAGTGAAAGTATTCTGAATGTAAATTCTTCATTATTTGAAATAAAAGGAAATTAGTTTGCAAATCTTGTATGAACAAACTAAATATAACAATAAATTTTGTCTCACTGATTCCATGCAGATTCTAATGAATGGACTCAAATTATATTAAAAAAAAAACACTAAACCAATAAATAAATGGTTCTGATCATGAACTTGAAAATAGATAAGAACACACACAAAAAAGACTGGGTCAAATATTTTTCTTCTTCTATTTAATTTTTTTTAACAATTATGCATTTTTATATTTATATAAAAGTATTTCAGAGCAGATTCTGAGTGCTAAGTCAACAATATTATGTTTTAGATCACAAGTCATAAGTAAGTCACACTTCATGTCAGTATGAACATGCTTTGAATAAGAGTGATTAAATGCTAGTCTGAAAGAGATTGTTTTAAGTTCATATTTAGGACAAGACTTTTTCAATTACCTTTGGCAGTTTTGCAGGATTACTTCATCACAAATTTTTTCATATTATAAACGATGAATGAGTTTTGGTTAAGGTTGTGTAAAGACAGTATACAATTTCCTTACCTTGTTTTAGTTAAGTCAAACAATTCACTGACTTAAAGAGAATAATTAATCCAGTCAAATATTCACAGCTGAACTCGCCATTGCTTTTTCAAACAAACACACTAAATGTGTGTACATTGTGTAAAGATGCAAGTTGACATCGATGTGTAAGATAAAAAAAACTACAATGTCAAAAAATGTCTTTCGTTTGGAATTTAGTTCGAACGGGGTTTCCTAAGACTTAGTTTTTGTTTTAACTTTGAGATACTTATTATTAATTTTTTATATAGTTTGTATATTCTTTGTTTATCTGGAAAAAAAAGAAGAAAAAAATAACAGACAATTTCGCATAATTCTTAAACGACGATCAAAGGCATTACGTTATTTTTAAGACGGACAATTTATAACATGTTTAAGTATTATTTTCTTTGATAATAAGAACCATGCTTGAAAAATCGAAAGAAATCTATTTCTGACCCTAATGGCAAGTAAGAAACAGAAAAAAGAAAAAATTCCAAATTGGCGCCAAATTATTTTTTCCGCGAAATTAACGCAATTTCAGAATGGCGGGTTTTAATATCAGTCCCATTGTTGTCTTAAGTAAGTAGCAACAACGGTCGTTTCTAAGGGCTTGCTTTCCGACTGATACAGGAACTCCTTTTCATGATTACTAATACCTGATCCTACCTTTTTCATTTAAACTTAAACGAGACCATAGTGAAAGTATTCTGAATGTAAATTCTTCATTATTTGAAATAAAAGGAAATTAGTTTGCAAATCTTGTATGAACAAACTAAATATAACAATAAATTTTGTCTCACTGATTCCATGCAGATTCTAATGAATGGACTCAAATTATATTAAAAAAAAAAACACTAAACCAATAAATAAATGGTTCTGATCATGAACTTGAAAATAGATAAGAACACACACAAAAAAGACTGGGTCAAATATTTTTCTTCTTCTATTTAATTTTTTTTAACAATTATGCATTTTTATATTTATATAAAAGTATTTCAGAGCAGATTCTGAGTGCTAAGTCAACAATATTATGTTTTAGATCACAAGTCATAAGTAAGTCACACTTCATGTCAGTATGAACATGCTTTGAATAAGAGTGATTAAATGCTAGTCTGAAAGAGATTGTTTTAAGTTCATATTTAGGACAAGACTTTTTCAATTACCTTTGGCAGTTTTGCAGGATTACTTCATCACAAATTTTTTCATATTATAAACGATGAATGAGTTTTGGTTAAGGTTGTGTAAAGACAGTATACAATTTCCTTACCTTGTTTTAGTTAAGTCAAACAATTCACTGACTTAAAGAGAATAATTAATCCAGTCAAATATTCACAGCTGAACTCGCCATTGCTTTTTCAAACAAACACACTAAATGTGTGTACATTGTGTAAAGATGCAAGTTGACATCGATGTGTAAGATAAAAAAAACTACAATGTCAAAAAATGTCTTTCGTTTGGAATTTAGTTCGAACGGGGTTTCCTAAGACTTAGTTTTTGTTTTAACTTTGAGATACTTATTATTAATTTTTTATATAGTTTGTATATTCTTTGTTTATCTGGAAAAAAAAGAAGAAAAAAATAACAGACAATTTCGCATAATTCTTAAACGACGATCAAAGGCATTACGTTATTTTTAAGACGGACAATTTATAACATGTTTAAGTATTATTTTCTTTGATAATAAGAACCATGCTTGAAAAATCGAAAGAAATCTATTTCTGACCCTAATGGCAAGTAAGAAACAGAAAAAAGAAAAAATTCCAAATTGGCGCCAAATTATTTTTTCCGCGAAATTAACGCAATTTCAGAATGGCGGGTTTTAATATCAGTCCCATTGTTGTCTTAAGTAAGTAGCAACAACGGTCGTTTCTAAGGGCTTGCTTTCCGACTGATACAGGAACTCCTTTTCATGATTACTAATACCTGATCCTACCTTTTTCATTTAAACTTAAACGAGACCATAGTGAAAGTATTCTGAATGTAAATTCTTCATTATTTGAAATAAAAGGAAATTAGTTTGCAAATCTTGTATGAACAAACTAAATATAACAATAAATTTTGTCTCACTGATTCCATGCACTTTTGAAGATTCTAATGAATGGACTCAAATTATAAAAAAAACAATAAACCAATAAATAAATGGTTCTAATCATGAACTTGAAAATAGATAAGAACAAAAAAGACTGGGTCTAATATTTTTCTTCTTCTATTTAATTTTTTTTAACAATTATGCATTTTTATATTTATATAAAAGTATTTCAGAGCAGATTCTGAGTGCTAAGTCAACACTATTATGTTTTAGTTCACTACTCATAAGTAAGTCACACTTCATGTCAGTATGAACATGCTTTGAGTAAGAGTGATTAAAATGCTAGTCTGAAAGAGATTGTTTAAAGTTCATATTTAGGACAAGACTTTTTCATTTACCTTTGGCAGTTTTGCAGGATTACTTCATCACAATTTTTTTTATTTTTATAATATTATAAACGATGAATGAGTATTGGTTAAGGTTGTGTAAAGACAGTATACGATTTCCTTACCTTGTTTTAGTTAAGTCAAACAATTCACTGACTTAAAGAGAATAATTAATCCAGTCAAATATTCACAGCTGAACTCGCCATTGCTTTTTCAAACAAACACACTAAATGTGTGTACATTGTGTAAAGATGCAAGTTGACATCGGTGTGTAAGATAAAAAAACTACAATGTCAAAAAATGTCTTTCGTTTGGAATTTAGTTCGAACGGGGTTTCTTAACGGGTGATAGAATGTTAGACTTGATTTTTGTTTTAACTTTGAGATACTTATTATTAATTTTTTATATAGTTTGTATATTCTTTGTTTATCTGGAAAAAAATAACAGACAATTTCGCATAATTCTTAAACGACGATCAAAGGCATTAAGTTATTTTTAAAAGACGGACAAGTTATAACATGTTTAAGTATTATTTTCTTTGATAATAAGAACCATGCTTGAAAAATCGAAAGAAATCTATATCTGACCCTAATGGCAAGTAAGAAACAGAAAAAAGAAAAAAATTCCAAATTGGCGCCAAATTATTTTTTCCGCGAAATTAACGCAATTTCAGAATGGCGGGTTTTAATATCAGTCCCATTGTTGTCATAAGAAAGTAGCAACAACGGTCGTTTCTAAGGCTTGCCTCTGTCCGACTGTAACCGTGTATAAAATAAGCCCTGTCTCCCTACTAACGTTTACCTAATATGGAATATACACGGTCTCCACGCGGACGCTTTTAACCAATCATATTCCTAGAAATGTATAGGAGGTAAGATAATATCCTATTCAGTGTTTCCTTTTTTTATTTACAGCTCAAATGGTTATCTGTTGACTGTTTACAACAGTATGGGATTTGCTAAAATGCTATACTGTGCTACTGTTTTGATATTCGGATGTATTATGTTGTCGTCTGCTTGCAAACTTTCCGAACATACTATCCTGAGAGTCGAGAAAAAGCTGAAAGAAAAGATGCTAAAAATAAATATAGGAAAGATACTTAGAAAAAATATAGTCAAGAAAGGTATGGAAATAATATGAAACAAGTTTAAGAAATTAACCAAAGTCTAAAAATATCATTTTGCGATACCAAGGACGTATATTAGATGTTAGTTATACGTCCTTGGCCACACCTGGGACATAATATATTTGTATAATAGTCCCAGGCCATACAAATGAAAAGTTGTTGTTGGTGGAAGATTTTTCTGGTGGTTATATCGGTTAACTTATTTACAATCGTTTTATACTATTGTAGAGACACCGGTCTATTTTTTTTTAATAAGACACTTGTCTACTTTTGAAGATTGTATGTTTTCTCTAAGTAAGTAAGTAAGTAAGTTAGTAAGTTAAGTAAGTTAAGTAAGTTAAGTAAGTAAGTAAGTAAGTAAGTAAGTAATCTTTATTGAAAGTCGGGTTGCATATATACATAATAACAATGAACATGAGCTCGTAAGAGCTCTTTAACCGACTCCCTACTATATGTCTTTTTCTTTTGGTTATTGCGCGAACACCTGAGGGTTCACGTATATATATTATAAATAAGAAGATGTGGTATGAGTGCCAATGACACAACTCTCCATCCAAGTCACAATTGGTTGTTTTTGTAGTCTACTGTCTTTTCGGAATACATCTGGGTTTTTTCTATGGCCACCTGCCGTCATACGTATTATGTAATTGATCTAATAAATCATATTTATTAGCGTTTTACCACAGGCACTTGTCTATGAAAAAAATTCCCATTTACCTAACTCGAATTTTTGAAAAATGACAATAGTATCAGAATTGGTCGAGATTATGGGTAATGTTTACTGTGGTATTACTGCTAGGCTTGGACTTAAGGATGTACTTAAGTCAGGTTTCTAGATTTTTTTAATTTCACCTAAGTACATCCTTAAGTTGAATCTTAATGCACATGTTTTATTGGGAGTCACACTTCTCAAATTGATGCCAAATGATAAGATTTCACAGTTCACTGACCATAAACACATTGACACATGATAGCTCGAGCGGGGCATTGTGTCCTGTTGACACATATTCTTGTTTTCTTTCTTAGAATCTTTGGATTCCTTTTATATGTAAAATGCATGAATATTTCAACGTGAAATCGACAAAATGTTTACAAAGATTGAATAAGAGGCAAACAAAATATTCTGTAATGACCCAATCACGTTTAAGGATGTTCGCTACTCTGTTTCAAAATAACAAGCTTTTTAAAAGACTGTTATAAATTGATAGTATATGAATAAAGGGAATAAAAAAGCAGAAAAAAATGAAGGGTCCGTGTGCTTGTTTTTGAGATATAAGCTTTTGAAAATTTGGCGGGAATGATTCTCTATAGTTTTTCATACATTTAACCTTTTTTCTTCAAAAACTATGAAAAAATAACAAGGATTTTATTATATTTTGAAATAAACTGTTATCACAGAGATATGTCTCGCCTTTCTGTAATTTTGATTATGCAAATGTTGAAATTAAAAAAGCAATACTTTATCATGTAAGTTATGCAAATATTCAAAGTCAAAGAACGACGACTGAGGTACATGGCTAAACAACCTCCATGGAAATGAGATGTGCCAATGCTAATACAACTGCATACCAAATACCATTGACCTATTATAAGTCGTTCCCTTTAAACAAACCTAAACACAAACATTAACTTGTAAACTATCGTGTAAAAGTTTCAAAGTCAATGAACCATGAAGAGGGGTGGGGCTATATAATCACCATGGAAACGATACTTGCAAATGCCAATAAATTGGCATACCAAATATCATTGACTTAACATTAGCAGTTCATCTTAAACTGATCTAATCACAAACTTATACATGTAAACTAAGCAAAAGTTTCAATGTCGATAGACCATAACTGAGGGGTCGGGGCCAAATATTCTCCATGGAAATGAGATGTGCAAGTGCTTATACAACTGAATACCAATTAACATTATCCTACCACTAATGGTTCCCCTTGAACTGACCTAATCACAAACTAATACATGTTAACTAAGCAAAATTTTCAAAGTCAATAGACCATGACTAAGGGGGTGGAGCCAAATAATCTCCATTGAAATAAGATATGCCAATGCTTATACAACTGCATACCAAATATCATTGACATACCACTAGTGGTTCTCCATAAACTGACCTAATCAAAACTAACACATGTAAAACTAAGCAAAAGTTTCAAAGTCAATAGACCATGACTGAGGGGGCAGGGCCAAATAATCTCCATGGAAATGAGATGTGCCAATGCTATTACAACTGCATACTAAATATGATTGACCAGTCACCTACCACTTGTGGTTCACCATAAACTAGACCTAATTGCAAACTAAAAATTGTTGACGCCGCCGCCGCCGACGCCGGAAACAGCATACCTATGTCTCGCTTTTTTGCTCCGTCAAGGCGAGACAAAAATGGATTTTTAAACTATATGAATTAAAATTATATAAAGAAACATGAAGGTTAGTGGGCAAAATTTTTATTGGCATTACATTGATAAAACAGAGGATTCCGAATGTCAAACAGAAAGTCAAAAACAAGAGTAGCGAACATCCTTAAGTCATATTTAGGCATTTGCAGATATGTTAATCATATTAGAATTATTCAGTGAAAAAATCACCCCAAGTTTTGATGGGGTTCGTGTTGCTAAGTCTTTAGTTTTCTATGTTGTGTTTTATGTACTGTTGTCTGTCTGTTTGTCTTTTTCTTTTTTTGGCCATGACGTTGTCTGTTTACTTTCGACTAATGATTTTGAATGTCCCTTTGGCCTTTGGTATCTTTCGCCTCTTTTTTTTAACTACATATACCAATTGTGTCAAGATACATATTTTTTACACCTAAGACAGGAAACACAGATTTTTTAAGTTAAATAACTCTAATCTTTAGGCGAACAATTTTAAAGGGATCAGAATTAACCCCTTAGCCGTGAATGAAATAGCTGCCTTTTCATCAGATCATGCACAATTTAAACAAAGAGAGAGAGAGAGAGAGAGAGAGAGAGAGAGAGATTGCTAAGCAATAATCTGTTGTCAAGCTATCATTTCGACTAATTAAGTTATATGTATAGAAATGTTATGTGTCTTTGACACATTCCCCATTTCCATTCTCATTTTTATTTGTGGTCAATAATTCAAAATCAGCTGTTAATTGTTAAAAGAATCGGTGCCACATGTGGAGCAGGATCTCCCTTTTTGAGTACCCGATATCACACCTGATTTAGAATGGGATTCGTGTTGCTCAGTCTTTAGTTTAATATCTTGAGTTTTATAGACTTAACTGTTTCCTTTGGTCTTTTTTTATTTGCTGCCACTCCTGCCACTCCAGTGTCATTTTGTTTTCGTCATATGAGACTGGAGTCGGTTTCACAAAAGACTAAGATTGGTCGTAAGCCATGAACAATTCAGTATACTTACGATCAATCTTAGTCGTAAGTTTTTTTGTGAAACTGACTCCTGGATATACTTTTTTCTCTTATAAAGTTTTATTCACATATTTACAAATAAAAGTGATTCAGCAAATCTCTGAGATCACTGTAATAAAAACAGTATTTGTTAGTTTTATCCCTCAAATTGTAAGTAATTGTTTTAGAACTCCATCTAGATACATATTTTGACCAAACAAATAATAATTAATTCTAATAAGAGTTACAACAGAAAAAACACAAATGACTGTCTTTTCATCATATTGTCATTTTACCGTCTAAGGCGAGGTAACTCGTTCTTTATTTTCAGAACAATTAAAGTCCACAGTAAAAAAAAGAAAAAAGAAATACTATTTCACCAAATAACATAGTCAGTCCTTCTTATATAAGAAGTTGAAAACTTTTTTGGTCATATAGCATAAGTGGGTTTTTATTAACATAATATTTCTCGAAAAGAAGCAATCTGTCGTTGTAATGTAATATGTAAATGCATACAGTACATACTTTTTCATGGTAAAAATAAATAACCTTTTTATATCAATGTCTTTGTCATCAAATACTTTTATTCGACAAGATTTATATATAGATATCCTTGCTACACTGAGCAAAAAGTTCACAAAATATGTATTTATTTCTTTTGTATTCTTGAGATACCCATGTAATATTAATTGTGTGTAATCCAGAATTTGATTAAGTGTATCTTTTATAATTACACCTTATGTAAAAATCCTGGGTTTTGATTGGTTAATAGCCAGTGTATTTTTCACCAATTTACTTTTATCAAATGAATATCGTTCATTTTTAACAGCGCCGGGGTATATGCAAAAAGGATATGCCTTTCTTACCCTCTCTGCCGTGGTATTTGCCAAAAAATACTCTATCCGACTGGACGCTTGTCATGTCACGATCATCAATGCGTTTTATGTCACGATCATCAATGCGTTTTGTACAATAACATTCGGTGTAATTAAACAGATATAACATGTTCTTGCGGGGTATTTGCGGAAAATACCAGTCTTGAGAATGAATTTCTCTCGCCTTACGGCTCGCGAAATTTAACATTCTCTCGACTGGTATTTTTCGCAAATACCCCTCCTTAACATGATATATCTGTTCATAATTACACCTTATGTAAGAATCCTGGGTTTTGATTGGTTGATATCCAGTGTATTTTTCACCAATTTACTGTTATCAAAAGAATATCGTTCATTTTTTAACGCCGCCGGGGTATATGCAAAAAGGATATGCCTTTTTTACCCTCTCTGCCATGGTATTTGCCAAAAAATACTCTATCCGACTGGACGCTTGTAACGTCACGATCATCAATGCGTTTTTGAACGTTAACATTCGGTGTAATTAAACAGATATAGCATGTTCTTGAGGGGTATTTGCGAAAAATACCAGTCTTGAGAATGAATTTCCCTCGCCTTACGGCTCGCGAAATTTAACATTCTCTCGACTGGTATTTTTCGCAAATACCCCTCCTTAACATGATATATTTGTTCAAAAGTACATTGTGTAGAATGTCAATTACATACGATTTGAAATTGACAAGCGAGGGGCAATACACCTTATCGCTAATCCCGCTTGACCCGAGAATCAGTC